CAGTGGCAGCTCCAGCTGAGGCCCAGGTGTTCCTGCTTGTGTCTTAAAAAAAACCAAAAACGTTGCTGACCACAATTTTTCCCCTTGTGAAGCAAAAGTATAATCAGTTCTAACAGACTTCCCGCGTTCTTAGGCTGGTTGGGCTTGGTGCTGCAGGTTGGTGGCAACTTTGAAATGCTTAAAACTACTGTGAGGGCTTGCTGGAATTGAACCAGGTCGTTGTGCACTGTTTGAAAAAGAGCATATTCTTGAATTGCCCTCTGTGAGTAGTACGTTTTTACTAAAGTTATTGTACTGTAAATTATTCCTGCAGGTTAAGCAATTCATATTTTAAGAGAGGCCTCTTAGGAGGTCTTGAGTATGTACAAATTGCTAACCAAGAATATCCGTCCAGATTTCCATTCATTTAAAAACATTAAAGTATACCATGTGTCAAACAAGAGGCTGCATAAAATTCTCACTCTTAAAACTAACAAAAGCAAAGCCAAACTTTACATTGTATTCGAATTTGCAAGCTGGTTCAACTCTGAAATTATTTGATATTTCATTTCTGCGTTTTAATAGATGATTAGTAACTTTTTAGATACGTTTATTACTGCAGGGGGAAAAAAAAAAAAAGGCTGTTCCCTTTTTGGGGCCAGATAAACTTGGTATAAAACCTGATTAGAAAGTACACGAAGTCATCCAGCAGAGCAAATGATTAACTATTGTGCGGTCTTGCTATGGAGACCTTTCTTTATGTTGTATCAGATCATGTTTCACCTTTAAAAGCAGATAAAGGAAAAGGCTGGTATTAAATTACAAACAATTAAAGATTTTTGAAGTGAGGAGGCTTTTGTTTGTTCTAGGTTCTTTTGTAGGGAGGGTGAGCAAATTTCAGTTACAACGGGGTTCAGTCAGTTCTTTCACCAGCTCAGCTGGTGACTCACCTGACTGAAGCAAGTTACACCACTTCCCTCTCTCCCTGTCACATGAGGGTAATCATCCGGAGTTATCTTACCGAGGTGTTTTAAAGACTAAGTCTTGTATCTGTAATTACTATGTGACAGAATACCAGCGTTGGTTCGTGACTGATATATATACGGACATAGCTTTGACATCAGTTAACTTGTGAGCAAGTTTTACAGTGGTCTTCTGTAAGAAATGCTCTGTTTTGTATGAAGAGATGCATTTCCCTGGCAAAATTCAGGAAGGTAGTAACTTTACAAAGAATTGGTTTTAGTTAGCTTTGTATATTTACAGCTTTAAGTAGCAGAAAAACCCATGTTTCTTTAGCTGCTACCAGTAGAGAAGGGCTCTTTGAGAATTAAATGTTTTGTAGAAGAAAAAACAAAACACTGTCAAACATATCTTTAATATGGAGAAATATGCTTTCATATCTCAGCTGGCATGTTGCATAAAAATGTGTCTTGTTTCTGTTGATCTTAGTGATTCAGTTTAATGATTCAGTTTGCTTTAGTTGCAAGAGGAGGATCTTTCTAATAATTTGTAGTTTAACAGGGCTGCTTTGAATTAGTAGCCAGCTTTTTGAATATATGTCTTATGTTGAAACATTCTATAATATATTGTTAGTCTTGTTCTTACCTTTTGTGTACGTTTTTTTTACAAACGTTGCAAGGCATTCAAAAGTTTTATTTGAGATACAAATTTGACAGCAACAGATGAGATTTGGTTCTAATGAGTTGAAGAATCTCTCTGAACCCTCTAAGAAGTGTTTTTAGCGTTACACTGTTTTCAGCATTGTAGGCTTTTTGTTTGTGTGTGATTTTTTTTTTGTTTGTTCGGGTTTTGGATTTGTGGGGTGGTTTGTTTTTTGTTTCTTTTTTTTTTCTTTAATTTCTGCAAAATACTTACTAAGAGGCCTTACAAATGTGGAGAACTGACACTTGGCACTATGTAAACAGGGAAAAGAGCAGCTAACGGCTCTCTAGAGGATTCCAGATGTGTCCCCTAATGGAGAGAACGTTTTGGCTCTGCTGGAGGGTGAAAGTAGCTGTCTGGATAAGGTAGGCTTTATTTCCATGTCACCCACTGTTTCTCAGACTTTTGCTAGTGCTACTCTTGGATTTACCTTGAATTTATCTGTCCTAACATAATCTCCCTGAGTCAAAGTAACTTCTACTTCAGCCAAGAAATAGCTATCTGCTTTTAGTCGTGTTATCTGAAAATTGATGTTAACAATTTTAAGATATTCTTGCCTAAAAAAAAAACCTTCTGAGTTTTGAAGTTGGCTTTGAATATAATCTTTTTTATTTATGTTCAAAATGTATTCGAAAGGGAACTATATGCAGCAGAATATCTGAGGTGGTAAAATACTGGTGCAGTTGGGTAAAGAAGCTGTGGGAAAGGTGAGATGAAAGGCAATTTTTTTGAGTGTGGTAAGTAATCAAGAAAGATTATCTGTACCATTTATGCCTTTTTAAAAAGCTGAAAGTATTGCAGAGGCTACTGTGAGAGGTGACCTGGCAGTAGAGTAGCAAGGGGTGAGAATGGCAAAAGATAGCAACAGTTGGCATTGGGGTTTCAGACCAAAGCCACGAGAACTCTTGGTGTGGTCTCTTCAGCTAATATAAACAAGAGTCCTTAGAGGCTTCACATCTCTGAAGAACAAGAGCTTCATATGCTAAACAGATGAATTCTGCTGTCCCTGGGCAAAAAACAGTGGTGCAAAATCTAAGAGGGAGATGAGTTTGCTGCCTCATCGAATATGTGATGCTGTTAGAGGATTGGATTGGCATATCTAAGGAGCAGTGATTTCTCCCATTATTGATTACTTAGGATTTTCAACTTCATGTTCGTTGTCTTGCTCTAATTGCCTAGAGGCAACAGTATTTAACTAAAACTCTATAGGTAATTTCATGTGGGTCACAAGGGAGATATTGATCATTTCTGATGGGCCAAAATAACGAAATACAGTTTTTGAGTGAAGGCTCAAGGTCTATTTACACTTTCAGTAGGAATTCCTACAAATTTAATCTGGTTCTTTGCTGCCAGGTGTTCTTGAATTTAAAACTTAAGTTTTCTGCCTTGTGGAATATGTATTTTCATCCTCATTTCTTACGTAAAGGTTTGTTCACTGTTTATCTTGATAATAAATAGCTTGCTTCTACAACTAAGCAAGCTTCTTTCCAAAGAAATCTAGCAACATTTGAATACTAGACCTTCAGCCAGACTTTCCAGTAGATTTATGTCTATGTTGTTTTAGAGTCATTGAATGGTTTGGCTTGGAAGGGACTGGAAGATCATCTAGTTTCAACTTTGGGGCATCTCTTCCTGGATGAGGCTGCTCAAAGCCCCATCCAACCTGACCTTGAACACATCCAGGGATATAATGGGATTTTTTATAAAGCAGACTTCTTATTTTTAGAATAATTTCTCTTTTGTTGTGAAATTTTTATGAACAGTTATGTGGAGCTGCATTAGCATTATAAAGGTCTCTTAGATTTATGATGTTTCGCTTTCACTGAATTTCTCAGAAATTAGAGAGCGTGATGCGAGCATCTACCTTGTGAACTTCTGAATGGTACTTCCATTTCCTATATGCAGTTGTGGCCATGAGCCCTGTTTAAAAGCAGAGTTGGTTGGTTTCAGTGTTGGTAAAGAGAGCGTGGGTACGTTTCAGTGACTGCATTGCAGTCTCCAGGTTTGATTCAATTCAACGTTGAGCAAATGAATGCAATGTGATTATTCTAACAACAACACAGTTTCTTACTCAGTTGACGTTGCTGAATGAACTTAACAGCTGGGCAAGCCCAAACACCAGATGGTGGTATGTGGTGAGCTTCTGACCTGTGCCTAGCAAATGAGTTAACTGGTTTGGGCCTATTTTATGA